TGAACAATTTGGGATGATTGATGATTCACGCGCGATTTGATGGCGCGATTCGCGGGTGATGGCTTGTGATCGACGGTTATAGTCGATTTATGATGCTTTCTGATGACGTACAGATGAAGACCGATTATCGATTGACGATTTTTCATGGAATGATGATTGATGGATTGTGATTTATGGATGTCGATTGATGATTCGGAGATGTTGATGGTGGATTATAGATGACTGTGATGATTATTACATGATTTATGGATAACTGATGATCGATTGCCGATTATTCATGGATGATGATTGATGGATTGGGATTTATGGATGTCGATTGATGATTGAGGGATGTTGATAGAGGATTATAGATGACTGTGATGATTATTACACGATTGATGATCGTTTATACATGCTTGATGGATGATAATTGACTATGGATGAATGGTTTATGCCGATGAATGGATGGTGATGAATTAATTATGATGACTCATACATGAGTGACGAATAATTATTGACGATTGATATTGATGGGTGATCGTTTTGGATGATCATCGATGGACGATTACTTACGCATGATTTGTGATTTACGAATTCTGATATACGAATAACGATTGGCAGATGGCGGATAATTAATGATGACTTACACATGATTGGAAGCTGATTATTGATTATATTATGGGTCGTTGATAATTTACGGATGATGACTTATAAACGCTGATTGATTAATAGCGATATAGGGATGATGATGATTTTTTTTATGATTGACAGAATGATGACGAGTGATAGATGATGCTTGACTGATGATGATCGAATATCTATATATCGATTGATGGATCATGATTTATTGATGATGATGAATTATGATGACCAATTGCGATTGGAAATGACTATGTTCATTATGACGTCATGCCTTGCGTCACATGGGTGACAACACATGGTGAGCGGACGTCGAACCGGCGTCGCTGTTAAATTTTTTGGGTCTTTCGGTAAAGTCACGCAGATAGGTTCAAGGAAAATAACAAAAAATAACAACAAAAAACTACGACCTTTCGATCGCAACACAAGCGGATCGTGAAACTTGTTTTTACTATAAATCACCGTGCTGTTCAGTGCAGGTTGGTGAAGACCGGGAGGCACTGATGTTGGACAGAGTTTGTGTACATGCGTTTCATGCTGCTTACACACGTTATTACTGCACTACCTTGCCTATGAAACGTATTTGCACAAAGACGTCGTTACCTTTCACAAGCGACTTGTTTTGTCTCGGCTATTGCGGAGAGCTAACCTGGCCACAACGCTGGCAACATTTCAATCTTCATTTGAAGCTCTCGTGACTGCAGGAATCCATACTCTTTGGTTCTTTCGGTAAAGTCACGTAGGTATAAAATACAAATAAATCACGACGTTTCGGGCGCAATACAAGCGTCCATCATCTATCACATTAACATAGCCGCTTCCGTGCCCTCTAATTTCTCACATTAACATCATGCTAATCTCTCACATTAACATGCCACTTCCGTGCCCTCTAATTTCTCACTTTAACATCATGCTTATCTCTCACATTGACATAGCCACTTCCGTGCCCTCATTTAGGAGGTCGCTCTTCTAGTTTACTTTTACATGCTAATGTCTCACATTAACATCATGCTAATCTCTCACATAAACATCGTCACTTCCGTGCCCTCTAATTTCTCACATTAACATCATGCTAATCTCTCACATTAACATGCCACTTCCGTGCCCTCTAATTTCTCACATTAACATCATGCTAATCTCTCACATTAACATGCCACTTCCGTGCCCTCTAATTTCTCACATTAACATCATGCTAATCTCTCACATAAACATAGCCACTTCCGTGCCCTCTAATTTCTCACATTAACATCATGCTAATTTCTCACATTAACATCATGCTAATCCCTCACATTAACAATCACTAGCCCCGGCCACTTCTTTATAACCCTTGAGCTACACCCATTTCAAACCTTTTAAAACAGTCTACCTCAGCAGCAGACCATGCTTTCCCACTTGTTGATGGACGCTTGTGTTGTGCCCGAAACGTCGTGATTTATTTTATTTTATACCTACGTGACTTTACCAAAAGAACCAAAGAGTATGGAGCTGGCTCATTTGTTTGACAGACGACAACACCGCTGAAGAGACTCAGAAAGTCAAAGCGATCAAGAGTTTTGCTGCTTTAGGATATAATCCTGTTAAATATGGTAAAGAAGGCCTATGAACCGATTAACCACAAGTTAATTTCTTGTTACATTGTTAAAGGTTGTGAAACAGACCCGGTCTGTTTATGAATGACGTTATTTTATTGGCACATCGTAGCCTCTTGAAAACAATGTCACGTGATATTCTTTGAGTCTTTCGGTAAAGTCAAATAGATAGGTTCACAGAAAATAACAAATACTAAAAACTACGACGTTTCGATCGCAACACAAGCGGTTGACCCGTGGTAGTTTTTGTTATTTTCTTTGAACCTATCTACGTGACTTTACCGAAAGACCCAAAGAATATGAATTACTGCAGTCACGAAAGCTTTAAGTCAATGTCATATGAGCCTGGTTATATGCCGAGAATATGGTCTACCGATTTTGCAGCATCTTCTGAAATACAGGCACGGACAAACCAGATACAGGCAGTTATCGACTTACTAACATTCGACTTACGAACATCCACACTTAAGAACCAGCAAACTGGTTCGTAAGTGCAAACTGAACCCCAAAACTATTTTGTCCATCGGAGCGATCCTCCGCGATATGTAAGTTCTCCTCGCGCAGCCGGAGTTCCATTCCCGCTCAGGGCCACCATCGGTGACGATTAGCTGAACCGGTTATGGGCCTCCCCTAGGTCGACTCAGCCTCAAATAAGTACCTGATGTGGTGCGTAAAAGCATCGCGCTAGGGAGACAAAGGTGGTCGGGCGTGGTGTTGGACACCCACCCGCTCGTGTATTATTCGGGCCTTCATAGGTGCTTGCTAACAGCACTTGCCCCAACAGTCTGTTCAGCCTATATATCTTTGTGTGTGTGTGTGAAAGTGAGTGTGTCTGTGAAAATGAGTGTTTCTGTGAAAGTAAGTGTGTGTGAACCTAGTGAATGTGTGTGGGGAGCGGTAGTGAAATGTTTATCACGCTGCGCTACGAACCCGGCGACCCGAGTTCGATTCCCGCTCACAGCCAACACCAGTGACGATTGTCTGAATGGCTCCTGGGCCTCCCCTAGGTCGACTCAGCCTCAAATGAGTACCTGGTTCGGTGTGTAAACATCGCTCCTTGGGGGGTCAAGCGGTGGTGAACGGTGTCCGGGCGTGGTGCTGCCAGCTCACCCCCTTTGTGTGCCACGCCGGCTTTTATTGGCGCTTCTCTCCAACAGTCTATTAAGGCGATGTGCGGAATCGTTGTTGTTGGAGTGTGTGTCCGTGCGTTTGTGTTCGTGTCTGCGCGCGTGGCCCGTGTGTGTGTCTGTCTTTGTGTCTGTTATGTCTTTGTCTCTGTGTCTTTGTTTTTATGTGCATGGGCGCGTGCGTGCCCCGTGTGTGTGCGTGCAATTGTGGTAGCTCATGGCGCTCCTTCCGACAAGTAAGCCATCATCAGGACTCAAGGTAAATACAAATGAAATATATTTTTTAAAATCTTGAATAGATTTTTTTAAATCTATTCATGTTACTTTGTTTATTTATTGTACAGTATTATTTTACAGTGTTACATGCAAACGTATTTCTTCTCATTTATGAGTTTAACAATGCTTAATTTTTTTGTTGAACCGTAACACATTTCATAACACTGACCACATGGGCATTTAAATAGAGTACATTGCTGTGTTCCGACTTACGAAACATTCGACTTACGAACGGGTCTCGGAACGTATTATGTTGGTAAGTCGAGGACCACCCTGTATGACCCAGTATATAATGCATTATCATCAGAGGGTGGAGCGGTGGCGCAGATGTTTGAACCGATTCTGGGCGCCCCCACTGTCGCCAACACGCACTGAACGTGGTGAAGTATGGTCTATGGAGGGGGGGGGGGCTTTAATTCAGCAGTGGCTTAATAGAGCATAAGTGGTTGAACGCACATATTTTACACGACGGTATATTATCATTCTAGATTTGAAGTTTTCGTGACTGCAAGGATCCATACTCTTTGGTTCTTTCGGTAAAGTCACGTAGGTATAAAATTAAATCAATTAAATCACGACGTTTCTGGCACAACACAAGCGTCCGTCATCAGGTGGAACAACCACAGCAAGAAAACAATTGCTGAAGTGGGCAAAAGGGCTGCTGTGACAAGAGGCTATATAGGTAAGAGAGGGGGGAGGAGCCAGAGAGGAGAGATAGAGAGAAACGTCGTGATTTAATTTATTTTATACCTACGTGACTTTACCGAAAGAACCAAAGAGTATGGTGTATTATCATATTATAAAAGATTATAGGACGCACATTTTTGCATGCAGTGTGCTGTATAAATTGGGACCTTTTTTTGTCAGAGAGCATGTTTTGTTTGCATGTTCATCACAAGCACGCGTGGTTAATGCAGTCATGATTCCTTGCAAAAAAAAAGTTTTCTATTTGGTGTTTGAACGTCTTAACACAACTTGTTTAAATTTTGATTTAAAGCTTTCGTGACTGCAGTGATTCAAATTATTGGTTCTTTCGGTAAAGTCACGTAGAAGGGAAACAATAAAATAATAAAAATATAAAACTTTTTTAATTGCCAGACGGGGTAAAACCTCCTCTTTATATTTTCATAGTGTGCTGTATTTTAAACCAAAAAGTTGTCGGTGCGCGCCTTACACTCCCGGCAGCTGTGAGTGTGCGGCAAGATCTGTTTTGGCAGGACTTTGTTGTTTGTGTTAGCTGCGCTTCGGACTTTTCGCAGAGCGTCGAACAATCCGACCTGAACAGCGCACCGCCAAACGGCACCCAACGGCGACTGTTGAATTGCAGGCTAAAGCCACGCGTGATTAACTTTGCTTTTATCTTACCCCATGGGCGTAAAAAGACACACAAGGCCTACGCAAGGAATGTGGCATTCCATAACCCCCCGGGGCCGCAAGTCACTCACACAACCGACTGCTGCCGCCGCCATATGAGGCCAAATATGCGCGCGCCTGGCTTTGGAATCCGACGCAGCACCCGGCGGACTCGTGTGCACTCGGTGTATAACATGATGATGGGAGGTACAGTATGTCGGAACCGAACTATCATTTATCTCATCGCACCGCGCCGCTGCTGCGTTGTCAGTGATTCGAGAGCACAATCAGCAACAACGAAGCAACTCGACGCAATAGCATTGAAAAAGTGGGGGGGGAAAAATACAATAAGCGACGTTTCGGCCAATGCAGTTTTATTGACGGATTTTGACTTTATTATTTAACTAATTGGGCGTCAACCCGTAGCTGAATCCACCCGCTAGAGGACGTCTTGCTTTAAGGTGCTTCTTCAAATCCCAAAAAATACGACGTCATTTGTTCTGTTTCGCTCTGCCAAAGAAAATCCACAACAGCGGCTGGTGGGAAGGGCAAACTCCACCGAAGGATCCAACATCACCCCCCTCCCTCCCGATCTCGTCCGCGTTCCCGGACGTACCCAGCACAGGAAATGACTGCACAGCGCCGGACGAACGCGCAGTCGGCCAAGGGAAGTTGCGCAGCCTCCCGCACTCGCGTTTGCGGATACTGCATTTGCATCATCGGCACGGGCACCGACGACGCGCATTGTGCGGGACAAAGGATCTAACACACACCCACACACCCACACTGGCGTACACACACGGGGCTCTACATCATACACACACCGCTCACGGACACACGCGCGCACGCCACGCGCGCGTACACAACACGTGTCACAGCAGAAGGAGCCACAGCGACGTTGCAGATCATCCCGAGGGGGTGCAACAGCGAGCGGTGGGGGGGGAGAACATTTTATTTGGTGGCGGCGAATCATTATTCCAAAAGAAGGGTTCCCGAGATTGGTGCAGTGCGAGACGAGGTCGCGTCTGAATCCATCACGATGTTGACCCGGGCAGGCAAAGCGCGTCCGTGGCAGACGCCGCCGCCGCTGCTGCTGCTGCCCGCGGTGCTGGTTGTGGTGCTGCTGGCGGTGCCAGTCGGTGGCGCGCAGGATGGAGGAGGAGGAGAGTGCCACGCTGCTTTCGACCTCTACTTCGTACTGGACAAGTAAGAGTGGGAACTCGCGGGAGAGGAGGGGCGGGAGGGGGTCAGCAGTTTGGGTGCGTTGAACTTCTTTCGCACCGGCACTTTTAAATGGTCCCAGATTGAAAAGTCGTTTGGTAACAACTGCTTTGTTTGTGTGTGTGTTTGTTGTCCTTGCCCCGCACCTCCGACTACCACAGTTGGATAGTACGGTGCGGAAGAAGTTCAATATACACACTGCATAGAACACTCAAACTGAACACACAAACTGAACACACAAACTAAACACACAAACTGAACACAAACTGAACACACAAACTGAACACACAAACAAAACGCAGTTCTAAAGAAACGAGTTTTCGCATCGGAGACAAAGGAAACGACACCTCGGAAATAGTGTTAAACTCTACAAGCAGTCTTCGACTTACGAACATCCGACTTACGAACATCCGCACTTACGAACCAGCTACCACGAGATATAGATGTTTTTGTTTAACATTGACTTGCAAACGGGAACAATTTTTATTATTCTATTCTTAGCTCTTTCGGTAAAGTCACGTTGAAGGGAAACAATTAAATAATAAAATATATATTGTTTAGCGGGGCGATCTTCCGCGAGATGTAATGAGTCAGGAACTATATTTATCCTGGATAATTCCTCGTGTGTGTGTCTCTGTGCGTGGGGAGCGGTATTGTAGCGGGTAGCGCGCTGCGCTACGAACCTGGCGTACCGGGTTCGATTACCGCTCACGACCAACACCAGTGACAATTATCTGAGTGGGTCCTGGGCCTCCCCAAGGTTGACTCGGCCTCAAATGAGTACCTGGTGCGGTGTGTAGTAAACATCGCCACTGGGGAGTCAAAGGCGGCCAGGCATGGTGCTGGCCACCCACCCCCTCGTGTGTTGTGCCGGCCTTCAAAGGTGCTGCTCGTGAACTTGCCCCTACAAAGACTATACAGGGGATCGTTGTCGTGCGTCGTGTGCTCAATTGTCGAGACTTATTACGTCCTTTCCGACATACAAGCCAGCATCAGGACTCAAAGAAAGTGAAATAAAACCGATTTGTTTTTCGATTTATGTTATTTTATGTTCGTATTTTATTGCAATATAGACTATTTCTTAGTCATGAGTTTAACAATGCTTCCATTTTTGTTGAACCGTAACACTGGCCGTACGTTCATTTAAAAACGGTACAGTTCCATGTTCCGACTTACGAACAGTCACACTTACGAATTGTGCGTAAGTCGAGGACTTGCATATACATAAGAGCCGTGGTTCGCATGTTTTGGCAGGACTTTGTTAAAAGGTGGCTTATTGTTGTTGTTGTTACTGCTGCTGATGATGGTGATAGTGTAGTTGAGTAATCAACTTCTGGTAGCGGTGGCGCATTGGTTCGAGCACCGCTCTCTGAACCTTGCCGAACTGAGTTGGACTCCGGGCCACTCTTCACCACCAGTGGCGAGTGATATCCGAACCGGTCCGGGGTGCAAACGTTCACAAAGCCGCACCGAAAATCAGTGTTGGTGAAGTATGGCCAAATAGCTCTCCATGACCGACACAGCGCGTGCAGAGAGAGCCCTTGATCCAGCATTGTGACGACAACACAGATGTTACGTTTGACTTTTGTTCTTGAAAAAGCAAAGGAATGGTTCAATACATTTGCCGAGTGTTCTCCATTGTCTTTCCCCACTTTGATATACTGTGTACTTTACAGTATATATACTGAGATATATATATACTGTACACATAAAGTTGTTTTTCTTCTCGAAAAGGCATTTGCTGTAATGTTTTCATGGTTGTGTATATTTTAATGAAGTGTATTTACTTAGAGTATAATCACAATATTGGCTCACGATGCTCTGCGAAGTTGCACGCTGCGATATGGAATTCTCTCTAACTGTGTTAAACGGTAACTCAAACAACAACAACAACCGCCACGAAGCGACGATGACGTCGCCACGGCGCTTGTGCCAGGCTAGGTGCACTTTGAGGCTATCGCGTGAAGTGTCGAAGACCCGCTGGCAGGAGGTCACGGGACAGACCCAGGTGCCATAGGTTGACTAACTGACTGAGCCGACTGCCAGATGCACCCCACCACCTGTGCTCTCGAATATGCCACAGTAACGGCTCGCCCACACACTCACGGTCGGTGGTCACCTAATGACTGTGTCCGATTCTGCCCAAAACGGATGTTGGCAGTAAACCAAGTCTCTGGTGTTGGAAAAAAACACATTTACCGGCAATCAACTGTGAGTGCGTCGCACGTTTTTGCCCGAGCAATTGCAAGATAGGAAATGCACACCAAGGCCCGAGCGAAGTGAAGTTGTCACTCCAAGGGAGGGGGCCTCGTCTGTGAGAGTGTGTACATGCTGGAGCGGTGGTTCGGGTAAGCCCCCCCCCCCACCTCCCCCCACGCTGCTCTATCCCCCAGTGACCTGAGATTGATTCCCGGCCACGGCTGATAATCAGTGGCGAGTGATATCAGAGATGCCCTTGGTTCCCTTATATTTGTACCAGTCGACTCAGCGTTTTCAATGAGTTTCTGGTGCCAGTCGTGTGTGGTCATCTGGTGCCAGTCGTGTGCGGTCATCAACACGGAGGAGACATGGTGCTGGACCACGGCTTGCCGCTCAATACGTCGTTCCAGGTCGCAATAGATGCTCGCTAACAATAACTTTTTGCCACGACAGTCTCTCTGTAAGTCGGGCTGCCCCTACACGGGGGGGGGGGGGGGGGGGGGGGGGGGGGGTGACGGTGGGTAAGTATTATATCCGACATGTATGCATATTTGTTTAACTTTTCTCGCACCGTACGTAGCCGACCGAGCTAATCGGAGGTGCGGGTGGGAAGGACAACGAACGAAACACTAAAACGCAGTCCTAAAGAAATCAGTAAAACAAAATCTAGATGATTTAAACGTGCATGGTTCCAGCGGCTTCCTAATATAGGAAGGAAGAGCGTTCCAGACGGCCGCAGAAGCGCATCTGAAAGCGCCGCGATGCGTGTGACGATAAGGCAAACGCTGGTTCTGAGTACGCCTGATGGTTTATGCTCTTTGAGGAGATCATCAAGGGGTGTTGTGGCTCACTTGTGGCAAGCACTTTGTGTGCAATCGGCACGACCTTTTAACGTATTCGTTCGGCGACCGGAAGCCAAGGCAGCTCGGCGACACATTGACGTCGACGTGTAGCCCCCCCCCCCCAATGCGCGTGGCCCCCCAATGTGAGGGGCCCGGGCCCCCCCAATGCCCGCTCCCCCCCCCCCAAAGCGCGGGCCCGGTGTGATTGCCCCGATTTGCCGTGCCCCTACGAGACACGGCTCTGCGTGGTCACAGCGCTGATCTCCCCGGCACCTCGCCGCGGGAAACGCCCCTCTTCTCGGGGCTCGCGGGCCCAGCCGGAGGGGGGTGCGAGCCCAGTTTGTGAGAGAGGGCGATCGCACCCGCCAATTTACCTTCGAATGCAGAGGAAAATAGCTGTCAACAGGTCGGAATTGTGCTAAGTCGCACGAATTAGCAAATCTGAGAGGTGGCTTGATAAGACGCACGTGGCCTAAGGGCATGCCTTCCAACAAAGTGTTGCTATTATACTTCATACTCACCAGTATTAGAAAAAAAAGTTTTACTTGCTGGCTGGCTGGGAGGGGCGGACAGACGGTCACGTCCAAATGACGTGCGGGTTGCTAGTTCCTATCAAGAATAAAATACGACGAGTCGGCATCGTCCAAGGGTTGTAATCTTTTAAGGTCCACATTTCCATAGTTTTATTTTCTTCTTGTACGAAGCCAACACGCATCCCCTACATCTGCACCCTTCTCTCGTCACCCAACCCCCTTACCATTGCAGTCCGCCTCGATTCCCTTCTCAGAGACAACAGATAAGAGATGACATCTACAGTAGAACGGTCCCTCTGGCTAATCACTGCGATTCCATTACCCTAACAGTAGCTGCTCACTGTGTGCCAGTGTGAAACACGGCCACACTTATCCATGCCATGACTTAGAATCCTCGTTTATTTTGCCGATGCAGTATTCGGTTTGGCTCCGAGGGCCGCGGGCTCTTCCAGTGAGTGCTAAGCTGTCCACTCGACTCACGCTCGTGGGCTTTTCGCCGCAACCTCGTGCACGATAACAAGTTCCATGCTCGTGTTACCGGCTGGATTGTTACGTGCTTGATAGCTACCGCTGTGTGTGTGTGTATATCACATAGGGTTTAAATCATGGCTAAATGTAACGCGGCATTTACAGCCCAACTCGCTGAGATGCGTAAATGTCCATTGGTCTGGCTGCGTGACATTTCTTGCCACCTGAGACATTGCAGGCTTGCGGCAAAGTGTGGAGCGCGTGTGTGTGGAGGCCGTTGTATGCAAGGATTTATTGTTTTCCAGCTAAAGGTTCAACGTGTTCATGCATTAGCTCTGTCCGTCAGTAACAGGAGGGACACTATAACGCTAGTGAAAATGATCCAATAGGAACCAATGGTGCAGTAAAGTTGGCTTTCTATTAGGCACTTTACCTTTATTGAAAACCGGCCACTTTGTTCAAGGGGTTGTTGAAAACATGGGAGGACCCAAACGAGAGCACCAAAGGACTATTTGCAAACATGCAAACGTAATTTTTCCCGAGCAGCTATCCGTCGTCGGCTTCATGCCGCCGCAGGCTGAAAACAACGAGCGCTCGTCGATCAGGAGTCACGGATAATCCACGTCGTGCGACGCGTGACGCTTGTGCGCGCGCGATTTTCCTTACTCCGAGCGGCCCCCCCGTCTCGTCGGCAGATCGGGGAGCGTGGGGATGCACTGGAATGAAATCTACGACTTCGTCAGAGAGCTCACGGAAAAGTTTGTCAGGTGCGTGAACGAAAAAATCGGGAATAACGATCACCGCAATAATAATAAAAATGACTTAACATTGCCTACTCACACTTACATTTTTTGCGGTCCACCGTACATGTGTCGTAAGCTTGCTACATCGACCTGATGCGTGGGATGGTTGCGAAAGGTTTGTCCTCAGCAGACGCTCTGCCCCGAGGACAATCGTTGTTAAATGACGTGGGCACACCCATCGTTCCTCCCGGGGCCACCTGATTCCCATGCCGTGTTCTGTCTGGCCCCAACCCCTTGTGTCTTCAAGCAAAACTAAATTGCAGCTGTGCGGTGCGCTGTCTCGACCTGTATGCTTCCGGTTACAACACAATTGAAGGAGGCAATGTGGTTTTAACTTGTCTACCGCCATATTTGGAGACCTACTGGTGTAACGTTCTTGTATGGATATAATAAAGTGCAGCTCGAGTTCATTGCTGTGCTGTACTGCTTTGCTGTCCTTCACCAAAACGGCAGCTGACCAGCATGGTGAGCTATGGTCATACAACCCCTGCGACAAGCACGGTGTGGGGAAGCCCCCTCAAAATCCAGCAGTGGATTGGATAAAGAGCTCTCCACATTTGGACAACGCGGTTCATACCTGCCGGTGTCTTCGCTGCGTTTGTGCTGCCTGAAGGCGTTCGCTCTGGGCATCGCGGTGGACCGGTTGTTGCAAACGAACTCCTCGCGTGATTTTTGTTTCGCCCCCTTCCCCCCACAGCCCGATGATGCGATTGTCATACATCGTGTTCTCCTCCAGGAGTTACGTCATCATGGAATTGACATCCGACAGGTACATTTCTGCCGTTATTGGTCCGCCGTGTTTTTTGTTTGCGTCCTTGAGTCACGGACTTTGATAGTGCCCTCCAGCGGTGTGCCCGGATATGTATGTTCTTCAGCAACCAACGAACACAAGTAAAACAGTTCTCAGATTTTTTTTTAGTGGTGGATTATAAAAAAAATAAACCACCTAAAAAAAACCCTAATGTGAAAATTCCATTAAAAACACTGCACCTTCATATCAAGTAATGTTGTGCCACACACTACGAACGGAACGACTTATCGCGGACATTGACAGAGTTTCCAAAAGTTTCGAGTAACTTAAACACACACACTTATATTTCAAAATTCGAATGAAAGCTAGTGATCTTTCGAAGAGATTGCTACACGGACATGTGGCTTTTAAATACATAAACGGACATGTGGCTTTTAAATAAACCGGCAGCGTTAGGTCAGTGTGACTTTTTTTTCCTACTTCACATTTCATTCCGAAAGCAACATCGTTGCCCCGCGTACCTCTCACTAAACAATACGTTCAGAGCGACAGCCCGTGGAGAGTCCCCAATCCTCGCTCACGCTGCCTCGCCACTCCGGCACGAAGGCACGTGCATCCCGTCGTCTTTAGTACGCAGCGCTCTCCGTTGCTGGTAGCGTTTTGTGGACGATCATGTCGCACGCTGTGCGCCTTTGCTCCAGGATGTGCCGTTGCATTTTCGACGGATTGCTTGCTAATCTGGCTGGCGAGGTTGTGTGCGGCGTTTTAGAGGGTGCTGATAGCCAGTCTAGATCCTGATTGGGGATGAAAATTCAGGCCTTCTGTAACCTCCAGGGTTAATACAAATGAGTAACTACTTTGTGGAAAGTTGACGGTGGTCGTTCGGTGGATAGTTGTTTTTTTCCTGCCATAGTAACGTGGAACACTCCAACAAGTATTCGGGGGGATTAGTGGCACAGTGGTTACCGCCACTGCGCTATGAACCCGGTGACCTGAGTTTGATTCCCAGCCACAGCAGATGTCAGTTGTAAGTTATTGAAGAACCGTTCCTGCCCTCCCCCCTCGACCCTCCACCAACCCGTACTGACCAGCGTGGTGAAAACAAAACTATAATAACAGTTTAGGCCATCAGGTTTATCGGTCTTCCCACCAAATATGTTTAAGCCACATTCGTTTTAGGAAGACAAACTCTCTGAACTTTCTAATTGTCATTAGCAGAGCTTGGCCTGTTCCACAACGCATTTGTTGTCCTCGATGTTATACGACAAGAGCCGTCTTCAGACAACGTGGAGGTCATTCACCGCATTGTCGTAAATGAACAAGCACACGCGCTTGTGCGGTACGTTCATGTACCACGTTAAACATTTGTACCTTTTCCCATGGGCCCCCGTGCAGAGAAAAGATTAAAAAGGGTTTGGAGGACTTGAAAAATGTACAACCAGCCGGAGACACTTACATGCACGAGGGCATCAACGAGGTAAGGCGAGTGGCCCGCGTGCTCACGCTTGTGCAACCTGGGATGGCAGGGGCACGTTTGCAATGTGTTTCCTGTTGACTGCATCGTTTAGGCAACCTCACAGTCACAATAAAAAATAAATCATCCTTGCGCACAGTATGTAGTAGGTACGTATGTACGTTGAACTTATTTCACACCAACCGTGCTCAAAGGAGATTTTGGGGACTGCGGGACGATTAGCTGTAGTTTTCGGAAACATGGTTTCTGTATGGAATGCCTCGTCCCTCTTTCTCGTTGGGTCCTCGGTAATTTAGGTTATTTTGCTGCGAAAGATTTCCTACGTGACAAGCCACTTTGTTGAGCTATCCTTAGTTGCCAGGTCGCTTCTGACAAAAAAAAAAGCTAAATAGCTCAGTGGACTTTACCTGGAAATGTAAATTTTTTTATATATATCTTTTATTTTTTTCCATTTATTTCTTTACCCGTCCAATACCTGGCACTCATATCGTGTCTTTGCATTGTTTGTTGTTGTAACGTTCTGAACTGCCCCTACTGGACATCTGTGAAAAAGAGCTTGATAACTCACCGGAATCCTGCAGTATGAATAAATATTCTGATTCTGTGCCCAGCTGGTTGGTCTTCATCTCTGGACAGTGGCACAATTCCTGCAGCCACCCCAGCACCACTGTTAGGGCATTACCAAAGTGCACCCGGGTCACAGTGATACATTGCAAACATTTATGCTGTGTTTTTAAGACTCAAGATTCATGTGGCAAAAATATATGTTTCACTTAAAATAACGGTGTTTTCCTTTAATCTCTCAGGCAATCGTACAAATCGAGGGTGAACAACAGAAAGGTATGGGTTTTTATGAAGATGCTTGTACCAGATATATGATTAATAGCTCTTTCACGTTTTTTTTTGTAACTTCAAAATAAGCCATGCATTATTGTTACATTTGATGGCCCATGTTTATAACCCACTTCCATTAAAATTGATTTTAACTCGTAGCCGTCGCCGCTGAACAATCCATTTTAATATTTCAATGAAAAACAAATTAACCGTAAAAGCTTCACCCTTGGGCTGCCGAGATTCATCTCTCCAATTCCATGAAGGTTTGAACGGAAACGACTGTGGTAAACATATTGTTAGATCCATTGCTTCTCTCGGTGCCATAAACAACATTGTCCAATGGTGCTTTGAAATTGGGACATCACATTGTCGTTCATTGCACATACTTAAAATGAAATTTCAGTCGAGTCATTCACAAAGCCAACATCCGCTATTTCTTTATCATATGGATGCAGCGATCAGCTTGCAATCGGACGGTTGCGATATCAAATCCTGGTTGGGAGGATTGAGTCAGACCATCATCATCATCATCATCATCCCGATGGGGTCGATAATATCAGTACCGCGTAGTGGGGAAGTCAACGGGGTTGTTTTACGGATAGACCCAACCCCTGTCACAGAAATGTAAAATTTCCATTACTGCCTCAGGGTCTGTGAACAGGAAATGAGCACCACGAGAAACCACATTCGCTTTAAAAAATATATATATTATTTGACTTAGGACGTCTGCCCTTTGATTGCGTCCGATGAAGCCTGTGCCGTCCGCGCTTGTGTCCTCACCAGGGAGAAGAGTGTCGAGTGTGATTGTGTCCCTCACCGATGGGGACCTCGTTGAAAACCTCTTTCCCTACGCCAAGAAATCGGTAACAATGTTTCGCCACCGGGGCGTGGGGAACAAAGCCTGCATTGTTACCCTCACCTCGCACGAACCTATTATGTGCTGGTTTCAGGATGAAATTATTTTTCCCCCTGATTTCATGTCTCGAGATCAAATAAAACCATCACTTCTGCGCTCCGGTTTCTGCTCGCTTGAGGCCACTTTCCTAGAATTCTGAGCCCCGAGTATTCTCCCGGTACTCCCTCCGCATTCCGCCGCCGCTTTGCCGCCCTCCTTTAACGAATCTCCAGGAATTCTAAAAAAAAAGCCAAAGCCGTTCACGGACATTGTAGCCGGTGGCTGTTCGCACAGTCTTGGCCTGTGTGACTGGAGGGTGGCGAGAAACCGCTGCAAATCACTGTCAATCGGACCCTAAGCTACGAGGCCAAAGAGGTGCACATGTAGCGGAGTTATTTTCACGTTCCTCTTACCAATGAATGTTCATGGCACGAGTGGAGGCGAAGGTTTGTTGCGTAAACAAAACGTGCCAGTGAGTTTCTACTTCAGCCCACCGCTTGTGTTGGAGAGTAAACCCACAACATTTGCAATTTGAGTACCGTGACATTTCGCTTTGTAATTACATCCAAAGCTTACCGGTTGGCTGCGGCAGGTGGTGGCGGGTTGACGACACATTTACGCTGACGCGGAGATCTCAGCCAAAATCCTTCATGAGGAAGGCTACCGTCGATTGTTCCGTCTCGACGTGCGAATCGTGAAAAAACACGGGTTTGGTACGCTGACGTTTGAAACGAGGACAATGTTCCACGTTGGGCTTCGAAAACAGAAAACAAGAGACATCTGTTACAGCTTTGTTTGAAGTGTTTTGTTTGAATAAATGTGAAGCCAGCTGTGTTTAATTAATAGACATCGCGTCTGGCAAAGCGTTGCAACACCCTACCAGGGTTTATCGTGCAGAAAGGTTCAATAACATTGTTTACTTTTCTCTTGTTTATGCCGTCTGGGGAAATGTCTCTTTTCTTCTGTGTGTGATGGATGGCTAAGGATTTGAACAACAAAGTTGTGACTCTCAATTCATAATGTATTTCAGGCTGACAGGGCAAGGTCGGTTGGAGCCTCTGTCTATGCCGTTGGCGTAAAAGATTTTAAGTATGAACAGGTAAGTCATTTATATTGTTGATATTATTATGTATATCTTGTTGTGTAACACACACACACATGCATGTTGTCTTTGAGATCTCATTTATTTCATTACACTTGATAATTTACTGCTCTAACGACCCAAGCATATCTGTGTGTCCCGCGTGTGACGTCACTCCACATGAGGCCAACCCACGTGAGGCCAACCCCCACAGGTGACGTCTCCCAAATGGACACGCCCCCACCATTAATAATAATTAGCGGGTGACGTCACTCCACATTGGGGGGCGAGGCGCCTCCTCCCCCCTCCTCGGCGTCAACTCACAACCCTCACTACAAAGGCAGAACCCTCACGTCACGTGATCTCCGTAACGCTGTTGAGACATAGAAGTAAAAATGACGTCATGATCAACAAGAGATTATAACCTTTAAATGAAATAGGTCTGTGTCACTGCGCCCTTACTAATTGCACACGCATTAATGCAACGAATATCACGTCGCGGGCTGCTTTTCGCTTGCAAGTTTCAGATTTACTGCAGTACACTCGTCCTTGGACGAGCAAAGGCGAGTTAAGAATATTATTAAAGTCTTTAAAATACTGCATACCCGTTAGTGACGAGTGATATCTGAACCAGGCCTGGGCCCCGACCCTTCACAAATATGCAATGAATGAGTTGGTGAAGTATGGCTAAACCACCTTGATCGACAGGGAGGCCTTCATCCAGAAGTGGATTTTAAAAAGGCTCTAATTACTTTGTTTTTCTTCCCAATTTATCGTTTGTAGGCCCTCCCACCTGCATTGACAGGAGTGAGATCTACACAACCAAAGTATAAATATATTTTATCCTTAAAAATCCCAACAAAACTATCACACAATGAAACGCATTTCTACAAAACACTGTCGCGTACAAAACACCACTCCTCCACGCGCATCGCCCCTGTCATTGATAACGAACCCTCTACCCTTTGCCTCCTTTGCCCGCTACGAGCATGCGAGCGCCTCGATTCAAGTTTTAACACCTCCCTCCCATCTGTCACAGCTCGCCGTGATCGCAGACAGCAAGGAACATGTGTTTCCAGTCAACGGGGGTTTCAGCGCCTTGCGAAACATCATCAACTCCGTGAGTGCCTCTCTCCGTTCTCGCGAGCCGTGCGAGCGTGCGCCGTCGACGCTACGAGTCCGACGCCTGTCAGCGAGCGACCGTACGGCTCTCTTAAGGGGAGCGGCGGTGGAGCGGTTAGCGGCACCGAGTTCGATTCCCGCTCACGGCCAAGACCGGCGACGATTATCTGAATCAGTCCTGGGCCTCCCCTAGGTCGACTCGGCCTTAAACGAGTACCCGATGCGGTGTGTAAAATGTCACGTGATAGGGAGACAAAGGCGGCCGGGCGTGGTGCTGGACCCCCACCCCCCCCCCCCCCCCCCGGGGGATCTTTGTCTCCCTAAGGATGCGGAAAGGCCCGAATTGCAATAGTTCACCGGGAGCCGTACAGCAACGGTGATGTAACGGCCTGTGCACGTGACCGTGTTGCGAGAGGCTCGGGCAACTCTCTCCGATGAACGCTCGAAATCCAATCTGTCAGAGTGACACACGAATGGAACGCACAGCAGAACGCGCACGCCCCGGAAAGCCATTGACAGTGGGCCGAGATCAAAATGACGGGATAGAGAGGTAGATGGTGCGCGTTTAGAAGCCTAGGCTTGGCAGTGAAAAGGAACATACCGATGCGCATAAACAGGGAAGGTTTTTAATCAGTCTGTGTCACCTTTTTTTCTTTTTGCGCGTGGATCAGAAGCATGGGCGCTGACAATTAAGCCACGCCTGCACCTAAAATGAGAGACAGAAAGAGGAAGGCCTGGATGAGAAAACGTGCGCAGGTTTTAGGGATGTACATAACGTTGCTCAGAAAAGCGTGTGGGGCTGGGCAGAACGAGTGAATGGCAATGGCCAGTGGGTCGAGGCTAACGATGGAGCGCGAGTCGAAGGTTGGGAACGCGCCCGACAGGAATTGGCCTCCACAGAGGTGGAGCCACGAAATCCGCTCACGTGCAGGCGCTCAATGTATCGTTGCATCGCGATGGCCATGAGAGATGGTGACGGCTGCGTGGGGTGGGTGGGGGGGGGGCCTTCATCCAGCGGTGGATGGATCATGATTCGATTTGCTGCTGCTGCTGATGATGATGTTAAAATGGGGATGTTAAATGGATGCACTAATTTATACAAAGACATTTGTGTACGCACCTGGGCCTTGCATTCACCGACTCTGCTGTGGCAGTTTTGTTTTAAATTCACAGGCGGTCTCCGGCTTACGACGGTCCGAATGTTTTTTTTACGACGATGCACAATTACTACGTTTACATAGCACATCAGCAAGTGATGTCGCCACCGTTTCGCCTGTCTATGGTGAAATTGGAGTAGGAATTTCGACTCCGGGGTTTCCAGGAACGCATTGCGAAGTCGTAAAAGTGGGGACCGCCTGTGTATATTTATAACTAAAAGGTATTGTTTTTGTTTGACCAGGTCAGGCCCACTGATCAAGATAGCTCTTTTTGCAAAGGATAGCTCAACAAAGTGGCTTATCAAGTGGAAATGTATAGCAGCCAAATACTCCAAACGCACGTTTCTGACTATGGTGGGAACAACCAGAGGACCCGGAGAAAAATACACACGACCACGGGGAGAACATGCGAACTCCAAATATACAGCAGGCGTCAGGGTCGGGATGGAACCTACGACCTCCTGTGTACCAGGCGAGGTAGTTAACATCTCATAGCCACCGTGGCTGTATATATATATACCCTCGAAAATTGTGGTGTCCTTTTTTATCTACATTTGGTATCTCGGTGCGATTGTTCTATGAAACGTGAGTGAATTAAAGCAAAGAAAGTGGCTAAATGAATGTGCACTCGGGTAGATAAATGGATCAACATGCCATGTGTGCCTGTCAGCGTGCGCTGATTAAAGAGGGAAACCACTAGTGGTGATCAAGCTGGTGTTTTCGCAGCAAACCAGGCTAATGCAGAATAGAGCTCACTCGCATACATTCCAAAGCTTACTTCTCAGAATGATTTTACATTCCGTGGAAAAAAAGTGCAGAGCCTAAATTAAGGTGCCCTGGAGAGACATTCGCAGAATTGTGGGTAGATTTATTTAAAGTTACTCAAACGAGACGGGCTTTGAGGGAAATATTTATAGAATTGGGAAATTAATGCAACGTAAAAAAAAAAATTACAGCCTGTACATTGTAACCTCTTTTTTTAATGCACCCAGGGCCTTTGCTTGTTTAAAAAAAAAAAACAGTCCCTGAGGGTTAGCACAAAAATGTGTTTATTATATTTGTTCAGCACGGTAGGCTACGTATGGTTCGACCTACGTACATGACATACAAACTAGAGTACAAAACAAAATCAGCTTTTTAAAAGTGCAAGGAATTTTTGTAATATATTATTTTGCTGCTTTGTGAGTTGTTGTTGTTGTGCGGCCGCTCTGCTGTTGGGGTCGTGCCGGTGTTGGCGCGACGTTTGACAACGACGTCCCTCATCGTTTTGCTTCACCACGATCTGGGGGGCGGGCGGGCAGAGGGGGGGGGCTACCTTCCCTTTTCCAAGCGCATCTTCATGGAAGTGCATTTTCCAGTCGAGTTCAGTTCCCAAAGAGGCCGCCGCCGGCGGCTCGTGTGGCGGCAAAACGTCGGACGTCGCGTCGGAGAGAGGGAGATCGAGAGATTTGAATGTGCGCTGTGAAGGGGGAGGGGGGCAAGTGGGTGGGGGGGGGGGCTCCGTTGACTCCCCACATAAATTATGTAAACAGCTTTTACCACGGTGAAGCGCTCGGCTCACAATCGTAAACGGCTGACGGGGCAGAAATTTCAGCGCTCGGATGTCCGCCGTGCCCCCCCCCCCCCCTTCCTCCCCGCCGCGAATCCGTGACACGCTCACCCACGCGTGTGATGGTGGTCCGTACCACCCCCCCCCCACCCCCCCCCCACCCCCTTTAGATCCTGAAGAAGTCATGCACCGGGATCACATCCGTCGACCCGTCAAGCATCTGCATCGGAGGTACGTGTGCTCGCCACCCCCACGCCAACGCCGCTCTATAACGTCACTGGAAATGCAACGGAGCAAACGCCGTCCGATGCGATTTGAAGGGCTTGCCCTACTCACCTCACCCCCCTCTCCACCCCCCGCCCCCCTCCCCCACTTGCAAAGCCCCCACCACCACCGCACGCAACAATGCTCTGAACTCGTTTCTGCTGCTGCCCCGTGCTGCACACCGGCTGTGTTCGTTGTTGTCGGTGTTAGAGACTTGCCAAGGTGCCCCAGCCTGGCTGTACGAGCCTAGGTCAGAGGGGGGTCGGCAAAAACCTGTGGCTCTGGAGCCGCGTGCGGCTCGCTCTGTAACGTTATTCATCAGGGAACCACCGTCCTTGTGTTCACCATCACTGTGCATTGCGGCTCTTGGAATATTGAGGGCCCTTTTTTTTCTCTCGACATATTGAAGGGTTTTTTTTGTTTTTGTTTTACCGATAAAAAAAAATGGCTCTTCTTGTTATTTTCATTGCTGACCCCTGGCCTAGGCCATTAACGCCGGACCCTAACAATGCTATTTGTGTCTTAGTCTCGCTCTATGAGCCTTGGCAATAAACACTGAACCACCTCCGTATGGGAACCGTAGTCTGTCTCTCCGAGTCTTGTTGCTCTATCCTTGGGCTGCGCTGTACCGTCGCTCTTTCTCCACCCTCCAATGATTTCCTTCCCCAAATCCCTCCCTCCCTCCACCTCCCCACTTCTACCCGCGCGTGTGTGTTTTTTTTCTTGATTGTTGTAAAGTCTCTTGAGATGCAATGGCATTTAGGCGATTTATAAATCGAAACTGTCGTTGTTATTTCATGAGATATCGTTCAACTTGCACTGTGCGGAACTGAGAAATGTCACTTGTCGCGGTTGACTGTTGGCTTTGAGATAAAGTGAAATATAAAATAACGACAGTACAATCGTTATTGCATTCGCAGTATATAAACTACGGACACATATTACTAAGCATCAGGTCAAGCGGCATTTAAGAAAAATCAACAAATTTATAACATGTACATATCGGCTCTTTAGTTATTAATTTAAACATAGCAACAGAGTCAGCTATAGACACGGCAAGGGGACGGCTGTCCCCAAACCTCGAGGTATCAAAGGAGACAGCGCGACCTCCCGTTATGTAGAGAATGATAGGGAGGTGAGAGAGGCCGTGTATTTATGACCTGTCAGAGTAAGCGTAGGGAGAGGTGAGGTCAGAGAGGTAGGTAGGAGAACAAATGTAACTAAATAAAATCAGGTCAAATTACAAGGAGCAAGCAGCAACCGCATAAAATACATTTTATGGCTGTGCATCATCCTTTGTCAATCCTCTGCTGGATAAAGGCCTCCCCCATGTCGTGTCAGTCATGTGGGTTGTTTGACCATACTTCACCATTCTGGTCAGTGCGGGTTGGTAAAGACGGGCAGGCGTAGGGCCGGTTCAGATATCACTCGCTACTCACGTTGTCCGCGGCCCGGGAACCGAACCGAGGAAATCAGGCCACCCCCGGTTCATATCGCAGTGCGCTAACCACTGTGCCACCACTCCTGCTCCGCTGCTGTACCAGTCAGGTCGTACATTTAATTGGTCTCTCGCAGCATTGAGTGAGATCCTCCGAGCACTGCGTTGGAGACGATGCCCTCATCCTCGGCCAGCTCCGCTGGCCACCCCCGGCCTGGCCGCTGGGGGTGGCGCACAACAAACCAGCGAGTGGGTGCGCGATGGAGGTCAAACCACCGCGGGAAGCGAGTTCCTCACTGACCCCCGCGCCGCGATCATTGATTCGGACGCCGCGGCTGCCGTTGGGTCCCTGGTCCCTCGCCACACGGCGCCAGGGCCTTGCGCGACAAAGCGACGGCAATGGACAGGAAAGACGGCGGGGCGCTGCGCTGCCTGTCCCCCGCCCCCGCCCTCAAGCGAGGAAATAAAATAAAACTAATAAATCGGCCAACTTCCCGACATCGGCGGGCTCGAGTGCGATTAGCAGCATAAAGCGTGCCTAACGACGAAAAGGCCAAATATGTTGTCACTGGCAGGCAGCGTGCGACGACAAGCATTTTGGCAGTGTGTGCTCAAATAATGAGTGGGTGATATTAAAGTGAAATGATCATTTTGGAGTCATCGCACCTATAATTATTATTCAGGCTATAATTGGACCCAATTTGTCCTCTGATGTGCTTATTACAGTGGGTGTCAAAATCGCGACGTGTGTGCGCGCGCGTGTGCGTGCACATTTCCCGTGCTTTGGCGGGGGGGGGGGGGGGGCCTTCCGAATTGGCTGGGACTGTCTTGTCTAACGGACTCATTCTCCCCGAAAGTCATTAAACCCACACCGTATATCCATATTTAAATTGACACAATAAAGCAATCATGCTCGACTGACGACCGTAAAGCAGGCCCGGTTTGGCACAATGTAAGGTATTAATATTGTGTCCGGGGTGATCAGTTAGTGTTACATATCAAGCCGACGCGAATAAATGTATTAATTTCACAGCTCAGTAATCAGCGCTTCATTTTCCTCCCAAGACTATAGCCAATTCAAATGAGGGTTCAAGGTCGATACAAACATTACGGCGAGGGGCGCGGCTACAACGAGTCGCGGCCGCTCCACGAACACTCGGGGAGGGCACTGGCCCCGCTCTTGCGTTGCGGCTGTGGCCTCGATTTAGCCGAGCGACCGGATATGCGTTGTGATTTATCGCGCGAGCGGTCCCTAGACCGCAAACCCCGATCGCTCCGCGCGCACAGCTCCCTCGGTCATCCTCCCACGTCCAGTAGATACCTCTCCCTGGCAGCGCGCGTTCCTGCGAGCGATCCGGCGTGCGGCCACGCATATTGCGGTGTCTTGTTTGTTTTGCGTTCGACCGATGATTGTAGCAGTAATAGCGGGCAAGTGTGTACGCCAATTGAGTGTTGCTATAAAATGCAGCATTTGTAGCAACAGCAACAAAATTATGGTATGATGTGAAAATAATGTAATAGTGCTGATTTCTAAAATAATAATCATATTTTTTTTGTTACGATATAAAATGCATTTTTATTAACTAATCATTTTGATGCACTGTGAAACATATTTAAAGCTCGCCCTCCCACTACGTCAGTGCTGCTCGTCAGGACCTCTTAATTCATTTGCTAATAATCGACAACCCATTAATCACAAGCTTAGCCATTATTATTTTGTTTATAAAAAACATCTGTGAACATATTGACACTGGCACATATTGGAGAGAAACTCTTCACATTTCTCAATTTTTCTTCTTTGGTTCTTTCGGTAAAGTCACGTAGAATGAGAATAAAATAATAAATTGATAAAATAAAATAACACAATAATAGAACCAAAGAAGATGAATCCTTGCAGTCACGAAAGCTTTAAATCGAAATTTCTCAATTTTTGTTTTGCAGCATTATTTAAGAGTTTAATACCATAATTGGTTTCATCCCAACCCTGCTTGTTAAACACTGCCCACAAGTAAATAAATAAATAATACATTCATACATAAATACATACATAAATAATGGAAATTTTCCTTTATTTCATATGGCAGGACGGAAAAGCAATAGCGTTTGAAATATGCTATAGGTGAATGCTGGGTTTTTTTTTTTCTCACATATTCCAAGAGGCAGAGGACGCCGTATGGATCGCACCAACACTGCCAGGATGTGTCTGACGGTTTGGATTCATGCACAGCAGCAGTTTCGTCAATTCTTTGATCCATGTCCAATTTGTGGAAGGTGGACGCGCATATCCAACGTTGCACCAGTTACTGACCAGTTGATAGTGGTGGGACAAATCGTGGGTACCATCACATCTTCATGATGGCATCTGAGAGATGGATAATCGTGCCTTCAAATTACAGGGCTCTTTCAATAATGCAGACACCGGAACCCTGTACGTGTTTCTGAGCTTTAGATGAGCAAATATGCATCAGTTCGTCGGCTGCAATCATTCTGTGCGCATAATGCCTCACCATCGAATTGTTAATGTGAGAATCAATTATTCACGTGCGAATTGATTATTTTAAGTGCGTGCATGTGGTGTGCAAATTGAGATCCTGTTACTTTTTTAGGCGAATATGCCTAAGAGATAAAACTAAATGAAACCAATGTGACTGCAAAAGAGAAGACTGAAAAATAATTGATTCTTCGGTAGAATCTTGACCCAGAATTGTGACAAATGGAATCCCTGGTGATGGCGAATCGTGCCGTGCATGCCTGCTTGTGTTTATGTTTGACACACTTGCCAATAACATCTGGTAACCCAGTAGCATTTAAGAAAGCATGGCTACGCTGATGAGACTCAGGAGGTCAAAATCGGTCCAGAAAATTTGGTTGTTTAAGCAAATGCTGCCGGATAATACTGGTCTGCAAAAGCCAATTGGCCGATGAACTAAAATACGTTTTTTTTAAATATATATCGAGGCACCAAAGTTCAGGATTTGTTAAGAAAATTGCAAATGGCTCGTTTTCCCCGCCGCGTTGCTTTGTGGCATCATGAGGGGACATTGCGGGCACCAATGCAAAGTCTCTGGCCATGAGCACTCCCATGACGAAGTCAAACTTCCACCCCTCGGGACCCGAGTTCAGAATTTAAAATTATTTATTTTTCTCAGCAGCCACACACTATTCATGTTTGATCTCTGGAGCACGTGACCACCTCGTAAGGGTATCCTCAACGTGAATGTTTTTGGCTCCTTTTTTTTTCCCCCAGATTGTGAACCGGCCGTTAAAAGGTCGATGTGTGTACCCGTATGAGCCGTGTACAGTGCGGTCACAAGCGTTTATAAGTTCCCGGGTGTAAAGATTCGCCCCCTTGGGGTTCATTGAGTCATCACAATTTATGGCCGCGATTCCATTTCAAAATGGATTATAATTTTATTTTACATTGTGGGTGAAATTAGTAGCCCCTATTGGCTGGAAGGCGTCACATTAGCTAATAGCTGCATGGATCAAAAAACACCGATTCGTACACACATGAGGGCACGCATTTGTAACTTTAGTGTTGGTAAAAGCCCATGAATCAATGCATTATAGCCCTTATAAGCGCAATCTCATGGAATTTAAATCGCTCCTGAATGGAGTAATTTGTGCAACGAAGAGGGAGCTCCATTTCCCAAAAAGTTGCTTTGCATATACTTTCCCTTTTAAGGCAGTGTTCTTGACAAATGTGTCCAGTTCTTTTTGTGATATTATTTGTGTTCTTGGGCACCACTGCAAACGCAGCAGCAGCAGCAGCATCACCACCGAGTCGTTTGTTGACGATAATTGGCAAGATATCCAAGTGTAGGTAGTGCGGAGCCTTCCGGAAAAAAAAGTATTGAGACTCTGTAGCTTTCCTGGATAAATAATGGACAGTATTCTTCTTCTTACTGTTATTATTTTAATCATTCTTATTTTTAAATAATTATAAAAAAAATGTAAGCTCTTAGAATTGAATAATATTTAACATCATTCTTCGGTGTTAATGATTTCGAAAAATGTGGTGGTGCGTGCCTTCCACAGTACGTGTGACACGTATTTATTAAAAGATTCCAGAATACAACAGAGTGTAGACACGTGCACGATGGTGCAAAATATTTTACAGCGAATAATTGCACGCCTGTATTTATACATTCATGGGAGGGGGGAAAAAATAACAATGCAAAAATAATGCTCTTCCAACCCTTGGGGTGAGATAATAGTTGGTCAGCCTCATCATGGACTACTGGAGGCTACCGGAAACCAGATAGAGGTTGACAAGCTGCATTGATTGCAAATAAATCGTACACATAGTGTAAGCTGTGGCAGTCTAAACTGGAAATATTTTTTTTACATTCCAATGCATATCATCATAATCACTAAACACCACGATCTTTATTACTCGTCCCAAGTTTAGATATTGATATGTTGATTATGATTAGTCATCATCATCATCAACAACCATGATCGATCTGCTGCTGGATGAAATCCACCTCAAGCCACCACCATCTGTGACGATCCTTCAATGCGATAATCTCACCTAGCATCTACACACACACAAAGCTGATTTTCATTGCTCCATCTCCTCAGTGGATATACCCTCAGATCCGTTTATATTTGTAACATCTCAATGACTTATCATCTCAGCAATTCAGATTGAGTGATATATTATTTTAATATACAGCAGTGTAGGCATGCAAATGATCATACAAATACATACATCGTGATGTGTTATACATATACATACACCGTGATGTGTTATACATATACATACACTGTGATGTGTCATACATATACATACACCGTGGTGTGTTATATTTATACATACACTGTGATGTGTTTTATATATATACATACACTGTGATGTGTTATACATACAGTGAGGGAAAAAGTATTTGATCCCCTGCTGATTGTGTACGTTTGCCCACTGACAAAGAAATGATCAGTCTTTAATTTTAATGGTAGGTTTATTTGAAAAGTGAGAGACAGAATAACAACAACAAAAATCCAGAAAAACGCATGTCAAAAATGTTATGAATTGATTTGCATTTTAATGAGGGAAATAAGTATTTGACCCCCTCTCAATCAGAAAGCTTTCTGGCTCCCAGGTGTCTTTTATACAGGTTTCGAGGCTGACGTTTGGCACCTCGAACCTTCAGCTCCCTCCACAGATTTTCTATGGGATTAAGGTCTGGAGACTGGCTAGGCCACTCCAGGACCTTAATGTGCTTCTTCTTGAGCCACTCCTTTGTTGCCTTGGCCGTGTGTTTTGGGTCATTGTCATGCTGGAATACCCATCCACGACCCATTTTCAATGCCCTGGCTGAGGGAAGGAGGTTCTCACCCAAGATTTGGCGGGACATGACCCCGTCCATCGTCCCTTTGATGCGGTGAAGTTGTCCTGTCCCCTTAGCAGAAAAACACCCCCAAAGCATAATGTTTCGACCTCCATGTTTGACGGTGGGGATGGTGTTCTTGGGGTCACAGGCAGCATTCCTCCTCCTCCAAACACGGCGAGTTGAGTTGATGCCAAAGAGCTCCATTTTGGTCTCATCTGACCACAACACTTTCACCCAGTTGTCCTCTGAATCATTCAGATGTTCATTGGCAAACTTCAGACGGGCATGTATATGTGCTTTCTCGAGCAGGGGGACCTTGCGGGCGCTGCAGGATATCAGTCCTTCACGGCATAGTGTGTTAGCAATTGTTTTCTTGGTGACTTTGGTCCCAGCTGCCTTGAGATCATGGACAAGATCCTCCCGTGTAGTTCTGGGCTGATTCCTCACCGTTCTCGTGATCATTGCAACTCCACGAGGTGAGATCTTACATGGAGCCCCAAGCCGAGGGAGATTGACAGTTCTTTTGTATTTCTTCCATTTGCGAATAATCGCACCAACTGTTGTCACCTTCTCACCAAGCTGCTTGGCAATGGTCTTGTAGCCCATTCCAGCCTTGTGTAGGTCTACAATCTTGTCCCTGACATCCTTGGAGAGCTCTTTGGTCTTGGCCATGGTGGAGAGTTTGGAATCTGATTGATTGATTGCTTCTATGGACAGGTGTCTTTTATAAAGGTAATACGCTGAGATTAGGATGACTCCCTTTAAGAGTGTGCTCTTAATCTCAGCTCGTTACCTGTATAAAAGACACCTGGGAGCCAGAAAGCTTTCTGATTGAGAGGGGGTCAAATACTTATTTCCCTCATTAAAATGCAAATCAATTTATAACATTTTTGACATGCGTTTTTCTGGATTTTTTGTTGTTGTTATTCTGTCTCTCACTTTTCAAATAAACCTACCATTAAAATTAAAGACTGATCATTTCTTTGTCAGTGGGCAAACGTACACAATCAGCAGGGGATCAAATACTTTTTCCCTCACTGTATACATACACTGTGGTCTGTCATTTCATTCCCTGAAATAACCTGCGCTGAAAAACATGTAACCCTATCTCCATTCCACTAATAAGTATGCCGCTTCTCCGCGCACGTGCGCGGAGAAGCGGCACTACCCCGCCGTGGACTCCGAAAACGACTTCCCGTCTGAGTCAGTGCCACTCCCTCGAGCCTCCTCAATCCCTGCGCCCACACCTCCAGCCGTCTGCGTGACAATTCCAGGAGGTGGCTCGGGTTGGCTTTTTTTTCACTCCACGCCTCAACCCCCCCCCCACCCCCCCCTCCCCCGCCCCCAGAGTGCGCCCTATCTTGTCAAATTTGGTAAGTCGAGCAGGGGTTGAGCCTGGTTTAGTCCTTGCATGGAAGACTGCCTTGGATCTCGAGGTGTTTGTAGGCACGGGGCTGCAAGGTGTGGCCAAGAGGTAGCAATGTTGAAGTGTCACTCCCCTTGTTTACGAGTCACGGGTACTCTCCGGGGTCCTCTGGTTGCCTCACGCGTGCGAGGAATTGGCTCCTACCGACAAGTATCACGACACTCGACCGACGGGGCTCTCCTGGGTGTGTTCGAGCCAGAAAATGAAAAGACTGAAGACTGCCCGATGCGTTTCCGAGTTGTGCCACGTGCTGTCGTTCGGTATGATGTCCAGGGAGCCCCTGTAGGAGAGGCTAAACAGCACGTGAGCACAACCGCCAGAATCTACGCAACTTATGCAGCGCTCGCAATCATTGCAATTGGCAGCTGCCGTCGTGCAACGGTTGGCGCACTGGACTTGCAATCCGGAGGTCGCCGGTTCAACTCCACCTCCAGCGAGCGGCGGTTGAAACAACGGGACACGCATTTTCTCAAATCGCCCGCACCTCCGACCACCGCAGGCAAGGCGGTTGTAAGGTCGCGCGTGGTGGAACAAAGCGTGGCTCACGCCCATCTCTTCCAAATGTCGACCGGTCCACGTGAAAGGGGCCGACCGATTCCCTCCACCACACACCACCCCCCCCCGCCCCCGAGTTCACGTTGCGCCCCGCCAGCAGTGGGCCTTTAATCTGAGACTGCGGCATTGAACGCCGCCCGCCGTGTGTCGCGTTCCCACAGAGGAGTACGACATCGTGATCCAGGGGAACGGCTTCACGCGTGCGCGGGCCGGGGAGAACACGCAGTGCATCTTCCAGATCAACGACACCACGTCCATCAGTGAGTAAATCCCCTTGCCCCCCTTGCCCCCCCCCCCACTCCAGCAGTGCCAGCTACTGCAACACAGTGCTTTTTTATTCACACCCTTGCTGAGCACAGGCCTAAAGGCCCAACAACATACAGCGTGGTCGCAAAGTGGCAATACATAAAATAAAACTATTTCAACTAATTTTTATTTTACCAGGTAAGGGTCTACTGAGCTGCTCCTTTTCAGAAGCGAACCTGGCCACAAATGATAGCTCAACGAAGTGGCTTATCACGTGTACATTTCTCGCAGCCAAAAACTATTAACGCGTGATTCTCAATGTGGATGGGAAAAACCAGGGAAGCCGGAGAAAAATCCACGCGACCACGGTGAGAGAGACGCGCAAACTCCAAATCTGCAGCAGGCGTCAGGGTCGTGATCGGACCCACGACCTCCTGTATACCAGGCGAGGCAGTCAACATCTCGCCACTGCGGCGCCCTTTGAATCGAGGGGAAAGCTGTAAGAGCTTGGGGGAAAAGAGACAATGGGAGGGAATTCCAAAGTGAAGCAGTGCAAGGGAAGAAGCAGGCAGAGAAGCATTTGTTGTGGCCTGCAGTGTGGTGGTGGTGGTGGGCGCTTGAACACGCTGTGGATGAGATGAAACGGTCAGTGTCTCAGAGACCGAGCCATCAACATGGGTGGAGGAATCGATGTGTTCATGTGAAGTTCACGGGCGCAGTGGCCCACGGTAGTAGCTATAGAAGAGTGATAAGGAGTGCAGGTATCACTGGCCATCGACGTCAGCCATGTATGGACTGTATGTTAAACTTCTTTCGCACGGTACGTAGCCAACCGTGCTAATCAGTGGTGCAGGGGAAGGGCAACAAACTAAACACCAAAAAGCAGTTCTAAAGAGATGAATTTTCAATGTCGATTCAAAACTGCATAGCCCCAGTAGCTTCCTAACATAGGAAGGATTCGCGTTCCGGACGGCTGCAGGATGTACGTCTGAAAGCGCCGCGTGATGCGGTGGACCGCCTTTGTTCGACGGAGATCCAAAAGCCGCTGCTGCTGCGAGGATGGGCAGAGTTTGCGAGACGAGATCAGCATGGTATTGTGGTTCATTTGTGGCAAGCGCTTTTGTTTGTCGTTTGAGCCATGGCCAGGACTGACGTCCATATCATTGGGTCCAAGATGCAGAAACACTGTGCAACCATTCCACTCAGTATATACTGTACGCATTCATAGAAGGAAAACATTGGATGCTTCATAGATACAAGGGTCAACTCCAGTGGATGTCAATACGTGCCGTAATAGAAAGTAATTTAATTATGGAACGCTCACAGCATTGCCTAAGTGCATTATAAACTTACATTGATTCCATTATTCGGGAGCCTGTGTGCAGCTTCTGCACAGAACTATCAAGTCTTTCTTCCCATTGCCCATTCATTTAGCTTCTGAGGTTAAAGAGATTGGGCAAACCACAGGGTTAAACCATTCGCTACCCGCTTGCCAGGGAGGTGAAATGCAATACAGTATACGATACAAAATGCTTGTATACACTGCTCTTCACACACATCATTTCAGGGAGCTTCACAATAATAATACAAACTCAAAAACCCAATGCCATGCCAATCCTACTATTTTACATAATTATGCTTCAATTTATAATTGCAATATGATTTAAACAACAACACCCGTCCCCCCCCCCCCCCCTAATTGCCAATTGAACTTTCCCAGAGGCAATAATAGATGTGCTCTTGTAAACATGTTGTAGACGTTGCTATTATAAAACCCAATCTCAATGGCTCACTGTTGCCTCTGTGTCACATTTTTTGGGAAACTAGCCATCGGTCTGAGATAATAACATTCCTCAGCATGGAACTGGTTTCGTGGCAATGTTACACATGTAAATAACATGTCCCAGTAGTGATCTTATTGAGTTTCACTAACAGCACATATTTTATATGTTGTATCTACGAGTCTAAATTGTTCTACACGATGAAGCATTTCACCGATCTGCGTCGACCAGCGTGGTGAAGCATGTTTTAAAAAATCCTTGCATGACCCACGTGGCAATGGGGAGATCCTCATCCAACACTAGATTGGCAAAGGTCCGCACATTATCGAAAATACTTTTAGAACGTGATAAAAAATATGTAGATGTAATTGGGTAAAAAAGATTGTGATGGGTTGGGACGTTCATGTACAGGATGGAGAAGGGCAGTTTGCATACGGAGTGACGTGGTGGCAGGATGTTAACTGCCTCGCTTGGTATACCGGTGGTCGTGGGTTCAATCCCGACCCTGACGCCTGTATATTTGGAGTTTGCGTGTTCTCCTCATGGTCACGTGAATTCTTCTCCAGGTCTTATTGTTTTTCCCTCCGCATTTAGAATCAACGTGCGTTTATAGTATTTGATTGCTACAAATGTCCACGTGATAAGCCACTTTGTTGAGCTATCATTTGTGGCCAGGTCGCTTCTGAAAAAGAGCCACGCAGCTCCGGGGGCCTTACCTGGCAAAATGTAATAGTTTAGTTTGTAGCAGTAGCTTATAGTCAATATACAGGCACTGGCAACCAAGGGGAACACTTAAACCCAGAGAGTTCGTGAATTGTGGATGCCAAGTTTACAGCAGCTACGGGACGTAGTGGAAGGTAGCCATCAGCGACATTGGCCATTATGACCCAACAACCTTGACTAACTGGACACTCGCATTAGGGCATCCTTGCAATTTCTGTCACGTGAGACCGTCGCTACACATCGACCACAGGCAAAGCTATCGGGTGTGCAGGCGGTGCAACTGCACCAGGGTCCACAGGCCGGAGGGGCTCGGACGCTGGGCTGTAAACCGTGAGGGAAATTTGATTCGGGGGCCTCCATTTCATATCTTGCACCAGGGCCCACGCCTGCCAACCACATCGCGTCACTGACCACAGGCATTGCTTTGAACGTTAGAATTGGCTCTATTTTTGTTTCGTGGGCCGATATGGCGGAGTCAGCTGCATGCAATTCTGAGCCGACGGACCTCGAGTGTAGTTTTTTTTTTACTTTACACAACACCTTTGGTCAGACTGTATATTTGAAGAGTGTGCAGCTTACGGCTTGCTCATCCAACAAACAACTCGCCCCCCCTCCCCCCCTCTCAAGAGAAAAAAAAATGGGTCTCTTTAATCACCTGGCCTCTTTGTGTACAACCTGCAAACCCGCAATAGCCAACTAAAGCAGACACCTGGCGGGCACAAATGCACCCTGCCTTCCCGCCGGAATGACTCGCTCGCTGTGTCCATCGCGTGCCGTTACAGCGGAGAAGGCTGTGGATGTGACGGAGACGTACATGCGCTGCAGGGGACCCGTCATCTACGAGTCCGGAAAGTAAGATGCCATCTCCCTGTTCCTACACGGCCGGGCGAGGGGTGTGCGCACAGGTGGCCTGTTCATTATGGGAGGCTGTTCCTTCTCCCCTGCTGCGTCCCCATTGAAAATGGCTCGTTCCCTTGCCATATGTATTTCCAGCCATTTTCCCCGTAGATAAATAGCAGTTTTATCTGTAAAATATATGTATATGCATTTTAAATGTCGATTGGCTCAGGTGGTTAATGCTGTCACAGAACTGAGCCGGCCTCTCTGGGTCCTGGGTTCCAATCCCGGTTTCAGCCACGAATGATCAAACAGCGTTGATGATCAAATCAGATCACCAACGACTGCACTAAATAAATGATATTAAATGTGGTGTGTTATTGAATTTGGCTTATTTCATGCAACCACTTGGGTTTAATTGACATGGAACATGCGGTATTGCTATGTTATATTAAAACAAGGTATGCACATTGTTTGTTTCAGTAGGCCTAATTTTAAAAGGCCCTCTGAAGTCGTTTTGAGGTTACTCTCTGACACAAGGTGATCCACTGCTAGCTGAAATAGTTCTGGACAATAATTATAACTTGTCTAGACATGTTATTGACTTGTCACATGGAAGATAACTGGAAGAAAAATAACACAAAGGCATCGTTTTCAATGCCCTTCATTTCATGTCGATTCCGTCATAGACTGACACTGCTTTTGTTAATATGAGTATATATTCTTCAATTTACCCTTGTGATTTAAAACTGTTGTGACTGTAGTGTCTCGAGATATGTTCTCTCAAGTTTGTAAGACCAATAATTTCTACAGTCTTGCCAAATGTATGTACGGTCGTATCAAGTTTGTGTACAGGAGTACACATTTTTTTGACTGCAGTTGAAATGTAAGGTTTTGTAAAGCCAATGCATATCCCATAAGATTAACACTGAAGACAATACAGTATTGATCAAAATGACTGGTGAATTAATAATAAACACGACTCATAGCGCGTGCAATTATTTCACCAATCGGACGCAGCGTTCGATCGAACACCCCAGCTCGTTAAAATTTCGATTAAAAGCTTATTGTGTTATTTTTTATTATTTTATTCTTTTATTCTCATTCGATGTGACTTTACCGAAAGAACCAAAGAAGATGAACCCCAGCTCGTGTTGAGTTCTTTGCCGACTGAAACTACCGTACAGTCGACTCGCATCGTGTCAAAACTGGGGGGGGGGGGAAGATCACAGTGCTTTTAGGTGCCAAACCCCCCCCCTTATCCGGAGCGCCGTACGCGCACGCTCGTCGCTTACTTGGATGGAGATCGGTAGCGTCAGCCCAGCATCTGGTGCCGCGACTCTGAGCCAAGCTTCCCTGGCGGTAACTCACGGCGGAATCCACTCTGTGGGCTCCATCGGTTTTAACAATGCACAGTAAATTGCAGGCTTTTTACTAAAAAAAAAAAATTATCACCGTTGCTGAGCGACCACAGACCCAAGCGGAAAATGCCCGGCAGCCAGAAACAAACGGCACTCTTGAAGGTGTGATAGCAAATTATAGGAACTATAAAGTATTTTTTATTTAACCAGGTAAGACCCACTGAGCTGTACGCGCATATGTATGTTGAACTGTTTTCGCACTGTGCGTAGCCAACCGTGCTCATCGGAGGTGCGGGGATATATGTGTAACGACGATGAAAAGTTACATGAAGAGCCACTTTTATTTAGGGTTTACAAAATAAGGAACCCTACTAACGATTTTCCACAATGAGGGGCTCTAGGCTTCGTCCTGGTCTTCCTGCTTGTATCTTCCTCCGAGCGTCCCCACTCCTCGTGCTCTCCTCTTATATCTCCCTCAGCCCCCTTTCTCGAAACTTCTCGTCCTTGTTTTTTTACCTCTAGCCAATCCCCGTCCTTTCCCTTTAACCGATCCTTTTGGCATCATCTGGTCCAACACCATGTGAGACGAGGCTCTAAGGAAAGCTATCTCGGGTGTGGACCAATCAATTTCAAGGACAGTGCATGCATTATCAGAGTTATGTTTTTTGTTTGCATTCGGACCGCAGGTATTGTGGTCAATGCAAACATGACTCCTTGTCAAAAAGGTGTCAGTTTTGTTGCCAGATAAAAGGGTAAAAAAAACAATTATCGGATCCTTTTTGTTTTACCGTTCAACCCCCTTATTCTCCAATCCCTATCAAGTCTGCCTCCCGACCAATCACCGTGGAGGCCTCTTTCCTCCAATCGGAGACCGTTGTTTAATTTTAAATAGCCGTTTAGGCTGCATATGGCTTGGGGTAATTTTTATTTTGCAGAGGCGATCTGGCCACAAATGGTAGCTCAATGTAGTTGTTTATCACGTGGAAATTTATATCTGCCAAAAACTCTAAACACGTGCTTTTAAATGTGAAGAGAAAAATCGGAGGACTCGGAGAAAAATCCACGCAATTATTGCAAACTCCAAATATTCAGCAGTCCTTCAGGATTTGGATCGAACCCACGACCTCCTGTATACCAGGCAAGGTAGTTAACATCTCGCAATCATAATAGATAATAAAAGTGAAATACGTTTACTTGGATTGAGCGAGGTTATGAGAACCTGTGGATGAGAGAGGACGACGGGAGGGAACATTCAAAGTGGTGCAAGGGAAGAGAGCGGAGCAAGAGTGAGGGGGTTCGAGCTGTCGCGCGTAGGCGGAATACACTTCGCAACATGAAGCCAAAAATGAGCGTCACGGCCCCGGACCTTTTTGCGAGTCCCTTTGTTACTAATGTAATTAACGTGCAACCGAAAACAATGTCATTTAATCTTTAAAATAATCTTTGGGATTTCATTGAGTAGCAGTTAACTAATCTTTGGATCATTAAAAAAGCTGTAACCTTAACTAACCTTGTCTTCTTAGAACAAGCGTGTAATGAATGCGTGTTTTGTAACATTTTGATGCCACGCTTCCTTAGCTGCTCCCTGTCTCGACGAAATGGAAGTAATTTTTACTTTTGATTATGCGCTTCATTATATTTCTTACACTTGTTAGTTTCGTATTTTTATTCCAGACGAGTGTTTGGCCAATTTACATCGAAGCGCCATCATCGGCGGCTCTCATTGTGCAAGTGATAAGTGGTGGGGTGGGGGGATTGAAAGTATGTTGGAAAATATTCTTAAACGCTTAACATTGCAACGAGACTTAATGGCTCGTTGGCAAAAGTGCTGACCCGTCCACGCTTCCGCTACATTAATGCACGTTGCCCCTTCGTACTTTAATGCTCGGCCGTAAAGTAAACATTTCCAAGTAAAGTCGGGGGTTTTTTTTGGTGGGGGCAGGGACATTTTTCTTGGAACACATTATTAACGGACTGGCAAAACAACAAGGTTATCCCAAAAACCCTTGAGCCAAGGGGGGGGGGGGGACATGGTCAGTACTGCCTGGGGTGGCAAATGCTACCAGTATCCAGCCATTGATGGTGTCCACCTTGGTCACTGTCCACCATGGGCAGAAATCTCAGCCTATAATACCGTCCATTTTAAATACACACCTAATGTTGTACTTTCTTATTCCGTAGATGACTCGCGGCACAATCGTTGTTATTCCCCCACAAAAATTATATTCTCTTCCGAACGTACTGCGGTACCCTTCTTGAACGCAATATTTTTCCTGTAAAAAAAAAACAAATACAATTGGTGCATATTTGAAATATAGCCAAAACACGCTATTTCAAGCAAATCGTTGGGAGCACTGGCGACCCTGGGTGGTAGCGACGAGCCATTTTGAGGGCGATGGCTCAAGCATCAACGAACAAGCAAACAAAAACCCCGCGCTTTTTGTGCGATTGCGATTGATCGGCTTGCTTTTAAAAAAAAAAAAAACGCTCGGGGAATTCGTTGCATCTCGAGGCGACGAGAAAAACAAAACGTTAGTGCGGGCGCCGGGGGGGTTAACGGCTGAGCCGCGAACACGAGTGTCGCAGCTTGGCCGGGCCGTCGGAGCAGATGGCGCGGGGGAGAAACGTCATCGCGCCACCGGTGGCACGGCCGCACTGTACCCGCGCGTGCCTCTCGGTAGCGGGGGACAGATGGAGAGGAAGTGTCGGAACAGCGTCAGTTCCGCTGCTCATTATTGGCCTTCCGATAAGAGGCACTCGGGCGCTCGCCGGTCGTCACGTGGCACGGGCTCTGCCCGTCGCCGGCCGCGAACAGATTTTTTTTTGTTTGTTTGTTTGAAATTTGACTTTTGAGTTTCCTTCGTTAGCAGCTCGGTGAGACTTGTGGGTTGCTCTGTTTTGGTTTTGATCGTCTGCTCCGCGGCCCGGCCAAGCTGCGACACTCGTGTTCGCGGCTCAGTCGTTAACCCCCCCGGCGCCCGCACTAACGTTTTGTGTTTCTCGTCGCCTCGAGATGCAACGAATTCCCCGAACGTTTTTTTTTTTATAGCAAGCTGATCAATCGCACCAAAAGCGCGGGGTTTTTGTTGTTTGTTCGTGATTCTTGAGCCATCGCCCTCAAAATGGCTCGTCGATATGACCGCAAGGTAGCCAGTGCTGCAGGGTAACGATGCGCTGAAAAATAAAAATAGAAATGGACATATTTGCTCAATCATTATTATTCTGTGCTCTGTTTGCAAAAAGGGCTGGACATATTTTGCTAAATGTTAATTACAAAATTATGCACAAAAAATGTACTGATTATTGTTGGGATAAGTCTCGAAACATTCTTAGAAATGTGGAGAAATGTAATCAGTGAAAAAAAAAACATTGCTTGAGCTCCAGATTGTAACATAATTGTCGGCAATTACTTGATTCATATGATGACCATGAAGAGTATTCTTAATCAAATTTTTGTCAGAAGGCAGTAATTTCTGAGATACAATTACAAATTTTAAAAGGCCACAGATATGAAGAAACACAAGTGAGCTGTCGCGGGACATATTGCAAGAAGATTTGATGGCCGATGGATGATGCTTGTGACGGAACGGCGGCCAAAGGAGAGAGCACGACCGACAGGATGACTCTGCCGTTGAGATGAAGTCGTGAGATCAGCTCAATGTGCAGGAGCTGCTCAATGCTTTGTGACATCATGGGGACCGTGAGGGATATTGACGGACGCCGGGAGGCCTTTGTCCTTTGCCTGCCACTGACGTCTTTACCCGACCACCGGCCATCAGGCGTGCACAAGTTCAGTCGCTTTTCAATGGGTTCAATAGAATGTCCTTATTTAATCGGTGTGTGCGTTAATCACTTTGACGTACGGAACAAAAACTGCCATTGACAAAAAAGAATGAAACTAAATCTTAAAAGTGCGCAAAAGAAGCATAGGAGTGGCGGGAAGAGGAAGACAACTAACTAACATACCAAAATATTTGCGTACATCTGGGGGAAGTGAGCTTGAACTGGTGCCAGTGACGGGGACATTTGGCGGATGCTCGCATTTGTTCTGTCCTCCCAAAATACCACCAACCCACCCTCCCCTCTCCGCCACCTTCCACAGGACGGTTCATTTGCAGGTCAGCATCAATGAGGGGCAGTCCTTCCTGACGAGCTCCACCACCATCACTGCCGCCAAATGCGTGAGTACCGAAAAATAAAAACGACGGCGACAACCGTTGAACGTGTCGTGCGGTAAATCCACGCGCAATGCTTCAGCGCAGTAGAGAACAGCAACAATGTGTCCGAGGACAATGTGTTTGTTTGTATTTTGTAGGCACCGCTGTGGCGAGATGTTAACTACCTCGCCAGTTATGCAGGAGGTCGCGGGTTCGATCCCTACCTTGACGCCTGTCTCTCCCCATGGTCGCATGGATTTTTCTCTGGGTCCTCCAGTTTTTTCCTCCACATTTAGAAACGTGCGTTTAAGAGTATTTGGCGACAATACATTTCCACGTGATAAGCGACTTCGTTGAGCTATCATTTGTGGCCAGGTCGCTTCTGAAAATTAGCTATGTAGCTCAGTGGGCCTTACCTGGTAAAATACAAAAATAGGAAAAACAGAGGCGCTGCCAGCCTTAATACAGATTCATCGACAGTGCCAACGAAATTTTATCGACAGCAGACCATTTTATTTGCTGGTAAAACAAGTGGCCCATTAAGGGAGGAGTGGCGTATGTAGTAGGGAATTAAAAGCGATACATATTTTAAACGTTGGGGGAAATTATTTGTAAATGCTCACACTATGAGTGCTTCATAATAATAAACGCTTGAGTATTTGTGTACGCTCGTGCATTTCGAGAGTTCACAGGTGTCTTGTCACCATGTTAGTATGTGGAACTTCTTTCGCACCGTACGTAGCCAACCGCGCAAATCGGGGCCAACCGTGCCAATGACAGCGAATTGTGTGAGAACCATTTGAAATGAGTGGCCGATGGAATAATGTACGTATATTAGCCGTATAAAATAGTGTTGCTGCTACCTTAGGAGGGACCTATTTCTGCTCTACCCCAAAGTCCGTGGCTTGCTCTGCCCAGTGCTGATCCTAACAGACCAGAATACCAGTTTTCATTTGAGGTTGTGTCTACCCAGGGGGATAGCAGCCTTGGTTTAGATACTGCATGCCACTGACTTTGTGCATGGTCTGGAATTGACGTCACTGGGTTCATAGCAGAGTGCAATAACCACTACACCACTGGCACCACATGATTCATACACACAAGGCACATACACATATACACACACTCTCCAAACACATATGTGCACACATGCACGGATGAGAATACAAACAGACACATTCACAGATACTGTATATACACACGCTCAAACGCATACAGGCACTGCATGAAAGTACGTACACATACACACGCACGAAATACACAACAACCGCCATTCGCCACTAAGTGGCGGTGACGTCACCACGACGCTTGTGCCAGGCTATGTGCACCGTGAGGCCACGTGAAGTGTCGAACGCCCGCTGACAGGAGGTCACGGGGCAGACCCAGGGTCCACGGGTCGACTGACTAATATGACTGGCTGATGCACCACCTGTGCCCCCTATTGTGCCAACTTGCTGTGCTTTAGCCACCCGGCGCTCCGCTCGTTGTTGTGAGCGTCGCTCCTCCGCCCTCCGTTGTTGTTGGAGGGCGACTGCCTCCAACTGCCCAGTAGCGTCCTTCACGAGCCTCCTCCACAGAGACCGATCTTGGCACCGCTGGTACCAGTCATCGGCAAGTCCACTAATCTCCACGTCCTCCTGTACCACATCACTCCATCTCTTCTCTAGCCTGTGCCGCGCCCGTTTAGCCCCCTTGATCCGGCTGAACAAAAGCTGTTTCGGCATGCAATGGCTGGGCATGCGGGCTACATGACCCAGCCAACGCAGCCTTGCCTGCCGGAGGAGCTCACCGATGGGACTTTACACATGCTATGTACACATATACATGCACATACACGCAAAGGCATAAATACACAGACACACTCGCAAACATGCATGTATACACAAAGACATAAACGCACACACATACAGAGATATGCAAAGAAAAAGGAGGGGGGGCGAGGGGGGGTGGGGGGGGGACCCAGTGACGAACACTGCAACGAGGCCTGACAGGAGCAAGCGATTTCGAGACGCAAATTTTCAGAAACGAGCGAGCATGCGTGCGTGCGTGAACACCAGCTAAGCAGTCTGACAGATGACAAGGTGATTTACATCACATTAGAGCCGTGCTGCGATATCGGAGAAGCCCCCCGTATTATTATTATTGTTGTCGTTGCCTCCATCGTTACCTCCGAGTGTACGAGCGCACGGGCACCCTTCACCGTTCACGTCGACGTGCATTACCGAAATTGTGCTTAAAACCGAGAAATATTCATCAAAATTGCACTCCAGCTGTCAAACGCCCGCGTGTATATTTTTTAACAAGGTCCTCCAGGAAAATTCGATGATTAATACATTGCGCCAAATTGTTTGCTACTCGTGATATCAATTACATCCGATGAGATATTCATTATTTCAATTAAGTCGCGGAAGGGGGGAGCGGGATACCCTTTCTTCTGATTTTTCACTTGCTGATATTGGCTTTCTTGGTGATGTAACGAGACACGTTACATCAAAGAGTGTTGAGACGATGTGCAAGTACATCGTACGGTAGATTGTATTATGCCATGGTTTCTCTGAACAAATATTGACGGAACTTCTCTGACCATCGCAGCCTCTGCAGAAGGGCGTAAACGCTTCAGCCTCCTTGCTGTGAGCCCGAAGCAAAGTGGTTAAATGGCACCTGGAGAATGGCGAAAGCATGCGATGGTGTATCGTGCGTCCCATAGTGGAGTCATGCCTTTTAAGGCCAAGATTAAAAATAATAGGAAATGGGCAGTGCCAGGTGTAATGTCAATTAATTGTCTTGTTAATATTAAACACTGCATCGGCAACGGTCGGTTGTTTAATCTGCAAAACTTTTAAATTCATTCAGCTCCGTTTGGCAAAAAAAATATTGTTTGTGGTAGGGTTAATCAAACTCGTGCTATTTGTGGCTTATAGAGCCTACGTGACTGAATATGTACCCTGTTACATATTTGTTAAAAGTTTACACTTGCTGCTCAATTGTAATACAACTCACGCGGGCCAGTTTGTGTGCGCTGCTTGTTTAAACAAGTGATTATGCGTGTGCAGTTTTAGCTTTAGATGAACATTGTCTTAATTTGTTTCCCCGACTACAACAGAGCGTTGGAAGAGCTATCCAATCGAATTAATTATTCAACACTATTATAATGAACTCATTGAAAATTCAATTTATTTTCGTACCAAAGGATTTAAACTAAATTGAACACATAATGACCATGTTTAAATATAATTTTCTCACAGATTTATCGCTTTTATGCTCGCAATAAAATTAATGCATCCTAATTTTACAATGAAAATACGGCGTTTTATTTCACGATATTAATTTAACAATCGGCGCACCTCGAGAGACGCACAGGAGCAGAGAGAATACTTTGACCAGGACCAAACTGGAATTTTATTTGGCCTAACGACCGCGCACATTGATTGGGAGCATTTGCAAAGTTAATAGGCTCGCGGAGCACCAAAGAGCTCTGTTGTTTTGTGCTTTTTGCGGCGTAACAAATCGGGGCAAATTAGCCTTCGCGCTTTTCCTGTAAGCGCCGTGCTCTGCCACTGCGCGAAGCCAGATTAGCGCTGCCACGCGCCGAGACAGGCGAGGGATTTACACGAAATTGCCGTGACTTTTCTCTCGCTAGGTGCACTTAACCTCAACGCTGCACACGAGCGCCCATTGTGCCCTCCGTCTGAATGCCCCATTTGTCTGCAGCACTTGGACAAAGTAAATGTCTGGATTTTTTTTGTGGTCAAAATACCCGGGAAAAAAAGTTCCCCCTCCTTTTCAAAAAAACGTTTCCATCTCCTACGTTCCAAGTGAAATTCGTGGGGACTATTAATTTTCATGAAAGGCATTACATTCAATCGACTTCGTGATGCTTGGAGACTGGCGGTTAAGGGAGTTATTAAGATGTTTGCACATCATGCGGCTAATTCTTTTGGGGAAAATCTCAATTAATGTGAACATTGGCATGGCTCTGGTTTGCTTATCAGGGCCATCTATTTATTATGCAATGAGATTATGTGAGCTCATCAGCAGTGTTCAAATCTGAAGCAAAGAATGTACTGTTTAATATTTAATTTACCAACAACTTAATGTAAAATAATTGGATTTTTGTTACACGATGCAATGGAGGAAAACTTTTTTTGCTGCACAAACACTGGGCAATAGAAAGTAGCATTGCACACAATAAATATTTTCACTTCTTACATTTTTTTTTGGCCAGCCACACAGTGCAGCATTAAATTTGTTAACTTGTGTTACAGCGGTCAGTAGTTTTAAACTCTGAAAATCAACTTTATTACCCATGCGGTGCGGATTGCAACCGCAGCGATGCCGATGCACTCATTGGACGCTACAAGAGTTTTGTTCTGGCGAACGAAGGATTCGCTGGAGGCGTTGCGCGGTAAATTATCGCCTAAATGCAAGTGCGTGTGCAAGCGAGGATGAACCAGACAGCGACATAGCATTTGCAGTCACATCAGTCATTAAGAGCCCCAGTTAGCAAACGGTGCACGCGGCTCTGAAATAATTTTAACACACTGTGAAATAATATGCTCTTATTATGCGGCGGGAAAGCGACCCGCCTAGGAGAACACTAATTTATTTTAATGAGCAGCTTCGCTGGAAATTGCACCTCGTTAAAATGCTGTGGTTAACGAGGCCTTAATTACGACGCTGTTTGCAGCCTAATCAGCTAATTATTTCATTATGGCGCTGATGTGAGATTTTTGTTTACGCACACGTCCGCGCGCGTGCGTATGCACGCGCGCGCGCGTGGGTTGGGAGGGGGGGGGTGCACGCGATGTGGCGCGCGAGGCGTATGGAATTTTGGCCCGGGAGCCGCGGCGCGTTCCACCGTAGACCTCGCGCAATGAATACATTGACACAATGCGAGGTTAATTGGCGGTATTATTGCGATGGCCGTACGTCACTTACCACAAGGCCCGTGCGGTAATTGTCTCTCCATTAGATTGCCTCTCGCTCAGCAGTCGGTATCGAAAATCGAGCTCGGGTTCGCGTGC